AAGAAGTCTGGCAGGCGATTGGGAGTGATACGGTTTCCCTTCCCCTCCCCCTCAACAGTCTGAGGAGGGCCAGCTGGGCAAGTGCAGTACGGGTAGTGTCAGGGTGGTTTGTCCCCAAGGATGCTCCTTTGTAGGTTTTAACACAGAGATCTCGGACCAAGGACAGGGGCAGATAGACAGATCATCTGCCCTGCTGGGGAGCAGATGGAGGTAGAGTTGGGGGAAGAAAATGGAGCTAGAACCTCTGTGTGCTACGGAATGATGTTCTGCCCATCAGACAGCCCAGGGGCTGCTAGCCAGACAGCTAGGAGAACCAGCCCGCCACACTCTCCCCTTCCTCCACCAGCCTTTGTCCCTGCCCCCAACCCCTACTGCCCTCCTCTCTGTTCTCCAGGATCTACAAGTTACGAGATCATGGTCAGGAAGGCTATACCAAATTTCCTTTCCTCTACGTACTGTCTTAAGAGACAGGCAAGGCCCTGCCACCTATGCCCGATGGCCATAAACCAGAAAGGGTCTCTAGCTTGGGTGGTTCCTGAAGTTTAAATTTCTCAGTACAGCAGGAGCTCAGTGCTTAACTCAGAAATCCCCAGAGGCCCAACTGATAGGAAAATGAATTCTTTGAAACTCTTCATAATAGGGAGAAGCCTGGAGGAGTAGATACCCCCTCTTTCTCTGTCCCCTGCCCATGGCCTCTTCAGGGCAAATGTGTGTCAGCTCTGCCCTCTTCCCCAGAGGCCCCCAGCCAATGAAAACTTTGCTCTCTTGGTTGCCAACTTAATCCTTTGAGCTTCTCTGGCTCTTGGATGGCTTTACAACTGATGCAGAGAGGCTACCAGACTGGTGTGAATATGTGTGTGTGTGTATACTTCCATGCACATGTGTGATGGAGAGTGGACACATGTGTAAGCATATGTTTGTTTACACGTGTGCATATATGCCTTGTAAGGTATACAGGTAGTTGTATAGTTAAGTGATGAAGGATGTATGTATCAATGTGTGTGCAACTCTGGTATACATGAGCATACATATTTGCCTTACGTAGTGTGTAGGTGTGGACCATAGATGTATGTGTATGTGTGTGTATATCTGTGCATGTGCATACTGTGTGGTGGAGAATATGTGGTATATGTGTACATATATGGTGGAGTGTGTAGGCATATTTGCATTGTGCATGAATATTATGTTTGGATGTTTGCCTTGTGTGTGTGTGTGTTGTGTGGTGGAGTGTGTATATTTGTACATATGTGTGAAGTATGTGTAGGTTCACATTGTGCATGTGTCACAGAGTGTGTACATGCACATATGTGGTGAAATGTGTGTGCATTTTTATGGTGGCTACCATGTAGCCATGGAGGGGTTATGTATATGTGGTGGAATGTGTGTTTTGTTTGTATTAAACATGAGTATTGTGTGTGGTATTGTGTGTGTGCATGTGCAGTGGAATGTGTGCCTGTTTGCATTGTGTATCACTTGTGGTGGAGTGTATGTCTGTGCATATGTCATGGAATGTGTGTGCATGTGTGGTGGGATCCATGCACGCTTGCATGGTGTGTGTCATGTATGGTGGCGTGTGGCATGCCTACCTGGTAGGATGTGTGCACATTTTTATGTTGGGTGTCACATGATGGGGTGTGTGTAGCTTTGCATCGAGTGCTGTGCATGGTGTTACGTGTGCATCTTCAGTGCAATGTGTCCATGTTTGCATTCTGTATCCTTGTGTGTCTATGCATATGTCATGGAATGTGCGGTCGGATGTGTACACATTTTCATGGTGTGTGTGTGTCATGTACAGTAGGGTGTGTTGTGCATGTGTGGTGGGATGTGTACACATGTAATAATATCAGTGAACATTTGCATTGTGTTTGTGTCACATGGGATAGAGTATGTGTACGTTTTTACTGTGTATAAGTTGTGTGTGTGGTGGACTGTGGGCAGTATAATAGTATGTGTGTGCACACGCGCGCGCGCACACACACACACACACACACACATACACGTGCGGTTAGCCGCCGAGTGGGACCCAGCATGCTCGGGCCAGCTCAGCCCAGACACAGGCACCAGGGTCTGACTGGGGCTGCTTCATCTCCGGCCAAGTCCTTGAACAGCAGAAGCCAAAGGGCCGAGTGCTGGTGAAAAGCCCCGATGTGCTACTGCCTTGCCTCCGACTGCCACGGGGACATTAAACCTTCAACAATCTGGGACTCTGACGGCTGGTTCTTGGTTCTTTGCCTGGAAAAACAGTAGGCGAATAGTAAAACCTTAAATTCTAACATGTGTAAGTTATACATCTTATTTTCATTTTCAGACCATGTTCCCCTCTGTAAGACATCAGGAAAAAATTACCGTCTGACTTCTAATATCTCAGTGGAGCATTTATCTCCCAGCTATGATAAGTGATCTTCAATATTTTTTTCCTTTCAGATTAAGAAACAAATTCATTTAATTTTCTCTATTGAGTGTGCTCAGGCCTCCCCCCCCGCCCCCCGCCCCCGCCCTGCCTGAGTCTCTCGGAGCCCTGGGCTGAGTGCCTGCTCTTTGGGCTGCTGACTGTTCTCCAGGCTATGGGGATGGGTGGGTCCCTTATCTGGCTTGGTTGGCTCCTTGGGTCTCGCAGTGGTCCAGTCCTGCCCACTGCAGAGTGGCAGAGGGCAGCGGTGAGGCTTCTGGAAGTTCCTGAGGAATGACTGCGGAGCTGGAGGGCTGTGCTCTGAACCTTATCTGACCTCCCTGGTCTGAAGAAGGCCTGGGTTGGAGCTCTTGAGAGAACTGGCCGTCTCCCAGGCTGCAGAAACGGATGTTTCCTGCTTGGGGTAATGGCAGCTGCAACCCCGTTTGGCCTTCTGGGGTCTCCTTCCATCCTGCTGCTGGAAGGGCTGGGTGGGAAATGGACAGGCCAGGATGACAACTCCCTTGAGCCCAGTGGGAGGTCCATGACTGCACTAGGCAGGGATATATGGAACTGGACACCTGGTGGCCAGTGGAGGGCATGTCAGGCCTGCTGTCCAGCCAGTTGCTCAGCAACCAACCCTACAATATTCTAGGTGCAGCCGGATGCCTGTGCCTCATGCTTGTAATCCAAGCCACTCAAGAGGCTGAGATCTGAAGATCACAGTTCATAGCCAGCTCCGGCAGGAAAGTCTGTGAGACTTTTTATCTTTAACTACTCAGAAAAGGCTGGAAGTGGTACTATGGCTCAAGTGGTAGAACGTGCTAGTAAGGACCAGCCAAAAAATGTGTGTGTGTGTGTGTGTGTGTGTGTACTTAGGTGCTTGTTGTGTTGCGTTGTTTGAGACTAAGTGAGGTGATTGGGTTTTTCCCTGGTGCATCTCTGTATTGCTACTTCTGTGAATTTGTGCAAGAGGTGCAAAATGCTACAGCAACCACAACTTCTGTGTCAGGTTGAAGTCCTTGCATTCTGGTTCTCTATGCAAGACCCCATTCTTTTTTTTTTTTTGTCAGTCCTGGGGCTTGAACTCTGGACCTGGGCCCTGTCCCTGAGCTCTTCAGCTCAAGGCAAGCGCTCTACCACTTGAGCCACTGCACCATTTCTGCTTTTCTGGTAGCTAATTGGAGATAAGAGTTGCCCGGCTTTTCCTGCCCCAGCTGGCTTTGAACCGCGAGCTTCAGATCTCAGCCTCCTGAGTAGCTAGGATTACAGGCATGAGCCACCGGTGCTCAGCTAGGACCCCTTCTTCTGCGTGTGGGTTTTTGATGAATCTTCCCTCCACCTTCAGTAGACTCATTTTCTTTCCCCATAAACACCAGATCGTAGCCCTTGGTGGGGTCTAATGGGCAATATACCAAACAATGTGTGACAAATGTGTGACAGCGAAGTGCTGCAATAGAAAGAGCTCAGTGAGAGAATACCTGCCAGTCCCTTCCTCTCTAAGTCAGTTCGCAGGGCACATTATTGATATGGAGGGAGTTTGGAACAGTGCAGGCAGCAGAGGTGGAGACAGCGACTTAGGGAAGGGGACAACATCTAGGCCCTGGGGACCTAGAGAAAGCAGAGATGGCCTGGTGGACCTGTGCACTCTCCTCTAGGAAAATTGACTTAATAGGTCTGAGCAAGCAAAGACTTTGAGGACTCAGAGTGGATTCACACAGACGGGGGCCCCCTCTCCTTGGAGTGAAGTGGGGGCTGTGATCCCACCAGATGCCAGAGAAGACGAGACTCACCCAAAGGACTAGAAAAGAGGGGCCTACAGGCTGACAGGAGGCTACTGTCTTCTGGGCCCCTCTTCTAGCTTTCTTACAAAGGGAAGTCCATTCTCTTTTCCCACCACCTCCTTCCCCTTGCCTGGCAAGCAGGTAAATAAGACTCTGAATGGCCTCAGGCAGCCCTTCTAGCTGCGCTCCAGGTTGGAAGTTTATACCAACTGGCCAACAGCTAAAAGGCCTTTCCTCAGTTTCCCCTATCATCTTACTCTTACATTCAAATATACATTGCATCCACTCTCCCTTTCCCTGCCTTTTCATTCTTGGAGGGGTAGAGAAGAGAAAACCCAGCCCCTAGATGGTCGCAATACCATCTCAAGAAATAACAGGACAGAGGGCAGCGCCCATGACAAACTAAGGATCAGCCAGTATAACAAGTGCTCTAACCAAGGCAGACACAAAGTGCCCTGGGGCTGTGGAGAAGGTGTGTCCAGGAGCAGGACTAGCCAGGGACTGGGAAATATAAATGGCCCGTCACTCCAGGCTAAAACTGTAAGCTGTAGTCAGGCAGGGAGGGCTGTGACACTATCCAGAGAAAGTTCACTAAGCAGCTGCCATATACTTTTAAGTCCTGTAATTACAGGATTGGGCTGGGATTTGTCGCAAGCTGTGGTATCCACATAGAGGGTGGCGACAGAGTCTCACCATCATCATTGTCACCGTCCTCAGGATACCAGGTGGAGCTAGAGGTGTCTCAATGCCCGCCCTAGCCCTCTGAGGGAGGGGTGAGCTGTCCCTCTTGTGCTGACTGCTTTGGGTTTTGTCTCCTCTCACTCTAGGGAGTCTCCGGTGGACTGCAGTGTTAGCAAATGCAGCAAGCTCGTGGGTGGAGGCGAATCCAACCCCATGAACTACAACAGCTACATTGACGAGAAGAACGGTCCCCCTCCTCCCAACATGACCACCAATGAACGGAGAGTCATTGTGCCCGCAGGTACTTTAGGATCGAGGCTGCCTGGCTGCCATTCCCATCCTTGTTCTTTGGGGGTTGTAATGGAAAGGTAGCCCTGCCCCGGAGAGCATCAACACTCTACTGGGAGACAGATGTTGGGAGCTTATGCCCATAATTCTATGCTACTCAGAAGGCTGAGATCTGAGGATTGCAGTTCAAAGCCATCTCCAGATAACCAGAAGTGTCATTGTGGTAGTGTACTAGCCTTGAGCTCAGGAACAGTGCCCAGGCCCTGAGTTCAAGCCTCATAACCACCACCACCAACACAACACTCCACTGGGTACGCTAAATCTCCATGGAAGCTCAGTACTGCAAAAGTAACATCTCTACCTGACTCTCTAGCTGCCATCCAAGGGAAAGTTCCTGAGAACCACAAGAACCCTGTAAATTCCTGAAGTTCCACTCTTAGATCCCTCTATAGACTCTAGGTGATTCGTTTGTTGCCCCTAGGATAAGGTGTGTACAGGGACCGGAGGCAAGTCATCTTAACCCGGAAGGAGTTCCATGAGCTGAGATACGACCTTCCCTGCGTTTGAGGAGGAGCGTAGCTACATGCCTGCCCTTCCTTGGGCAAAGTACTTCCTGGCATCTGCTCGCTTCCACCTTTCCAAAATTACAGCCAGCTCTTTCAGTTTGAAAATAGAAATAACTATATTTAACAAATGGAACGCCTCCACATATGTGCCACAAGTTATGTCATTATGTAAAAATAGCCTCTTTTTTCTCCCCCTGTAGGTATTGGAGCTGTTGGTTTTACAGAAAATAAAACCATTATTCAATCCTTCTGTCCCCTGGCTGGACACCATGTCTGCCAGCATGGGCACACTCATCTTCCTGGCTACAAAAGGAGTTTGACAACAGCCACGTGTAGAATAGGTGCCAGGGAGAAGGAACACATATGTCCACATCTTACACCGAGTGAATTACAAGGCAGGGGCTAAACTCTGCTTACTAAAATAACCTGACCAAAGAGGCTAACTTCTTCCCTTCTCAGGAGGAGAAATGCAGTTGTATCTGAAGACAGAGGAGGCATTTCTTTGAAGGAATTTGTTTGTTGGTCTAATGCTAAATACTAGTTTTAGTGATAGACATCTCTTTCGTAAATCTTGGTGTGTGTGTGTGTGTGTGTGTGTGTGTGTGTGTGTGTGTATCTCATTATGTCCAGAGAGAGGCAGGAGCAAGGGCTCATGGGAGTTGCCTGGCATGTTTCATGACATAAAAATGCTCAAGTTCCTTCTTCTACAAGGAAGAAGAGTTTTGTTTTGTTTTTTGGGTTTTTTTTAGGGTGTGTGCCAGTGGCTCATGCCTATAAGTCCTAGCTACTCAGGAGGCTGAGATCTGAGAAAAAGAAGAATCTGTGACACTTTCCAATTAAACCCCCAAAAGTTGGAAGTAGAGTTGTAATTCAACTAGTAGAATATTAGCTTTGAGTGAAAAAAGCTAAGGGACAGAGTCTAGGCCCTGCATTCAAGTCCCAGTGCAGATGTGCATGCATGTACATGCGTGTGCGCACACTCACACACACACAAACACACAGAGTAGTTTGGTGAGCCTCTCCAGGTGCCATGTGTAAATTGTGTTTTGAGAGAATCCTCTCTCTCTTGATAGGTGACACTAAAGCATGCTGGGAAATTGTCTATACTTCTCAAGGCCAGGCCAACCCTTGGCTTATTTGCTCCCAAACTCTACCAGAGCTATTAGCCCAAGAAAGAACTCCTGAGAGACATGCAACTAGAGGATCAGAGATTGTTCCTGAACCAGGTTGCTGGCACCATCTCATTTGGGTGGTCGCTTGGAGAGGGTTTATGGAAAACAGGCAATAGGGAGCAAACTGCATGGTTGATCCTCTGACCCTTAAACGGCGCTGAAATGCCTTCAAAGGGAATCTCAAGACGTCAGCTTCAGCCGCCGGCCCCATTAACCATAGCAGCAATCGTGCAAACAGCGTTAATTCCTATCAAGCTGTTTTCAAAGTGCCTTGTGGAATGAATGCATGAGCTATGATTTGTTCCATTATTTTACCACTGGCTGGATCTTGAAACGCTCTACTCAGACATTTGGCTTCCTCCAGGTCAGCCTCCTGGACATGAGGGAAAGTCTCCTTGGGGCAAGTCCACAAATCAAGGCAATAAAACATTAGTGGAACAAGCGATTGAATTTATGATGGGCTTTTAAGACAAGTATAAACGAGGGTCCTACTTAATCACTAGCTTCACATTCAGATGGGAAGAAACTAGGGCTAAATCATCCAGGAAATACATTTGGAAGAGCTTAGCATGGTCCAGAGTGGAAGATTTATAATTCATTGTGCTGTAGAGGGAGAGAAATAATATTGTGATAGAGCCCAAAAGCAAGGGAGGAAATAATAAAATAAATAAAAATACAGGGTCTAATATGGATTCGGAGGCTTAGAATACCAAAGAGTGACATATTTGGAGATGTGAAGGATGAGCAACTATGCTACATGATCCAATTTCCTCCATGACATTTTTCTTTAAAAGCTAAAGGGTAAACCTATTTCCATTTACTAATGGGAATTAGTTTGCTTCGGGAAAATGAAGGGGTAACACAAAGCAAGAAATGTATGCAAAGGAGGCAAATACACAGTTGCACGATGAGCTTTCAAGGAGCTGGCCTTCTGACACCAGGCTTCTTAATTTACAGGTACGTTAAGGCAGGATAAGAGAGAGGACAGGATGGGAGGCAGGTCAGGGACCTGCTTTTCAGCAGACTCCTATAGGAACCATGGCTCCAGATCTCAGCAGTAGTGAATCTCCAGGCAAGTGACTTACATTTCCAAAGCTCCCCACTCCATCTGTAAAATGGAGATAGCAAACCCATTTTGCAGGGGTTTCTTGATAAGAAAAAATAAAGGGATGCCAAGCACTGCTCATGCCTGTAATCCTAGCTACTCAGGAGGCTGAGATAGAAGGGTCACAGTTAAAAGCCATCTCAGGCATTTAACTCCCTAAAAGCCAGAAGGGGAGGTATGGCTCCAGTGATCGAGTGCTTGCTTTGAGGGAAAAAGCTAAGCAAGAGCACAAGATCGCAAGGTCAAGCCCCAATACTGGCACAACACACACACACACAGAACAAAAAAGAAAGAAAAAAGGAAAAGAGGGGACATATGGAAGAGCTGATACACGGTAGGACATGATAGCACAATCTAGGTCATTGATCATTCCTGGATTCTAGATTCTTCCACAGCAGTCTGTGACCTGTGGCGCCCCCCTGCCCCTGCCCCATCTCCCTCTCAGCCTCTCAAGAGTGCCTCATAGAATTCCTTTTCTTCTGCCACCTGCCTCAACTCTAGCACAAATACAACCAGGCATGGCAAGAGCTTCCCCTGACACACATAAACACCCAACAAGGGTGGTGGGAGTGGACCCGAATGAAGTTTCTGGTAACGTACGTGCCTACGGCTGTCCCATTTCAAGGTGTGAATCTGACCACAGCACCACCTTCCTCCTCACCAGGACTCAGGATCATTCAAACCTGGCTCCCATTTAGCCAAGAGTCTTCTTAGACTCTCAGTGAGATGATGCATTGGTTGAAGATGAACGGAGCTCTTCCTGGAAGAGGCATACTAAATAAAATAGATTTAGTGGGCGGTGGAGACTATTTGCTACCTTACCAAAAAGAAACAAAAAATCTCCTCCAGTAAGCCTTCCGTGAGTTTCCCAACACACACAACTCTCTCTTCTAGCCATTGACTTCTTGACCTTCTACCACAAAACCTATTGCTTACTGCCTTGTTGCTTAGATTTTCCTGGGGATAGAAGATATTTCATGAGGGTGAAACCCATATGGCAGTCTTTTATGAGGCACTATTGTCGGCCAAGTGAAGACCTGGGTCTCAGGCTGAAGAAACTTTTTACTCCTTCCTATATCACCACCCTGCCCCCCGGGGTGAGAAAGATGGGCCAGAATTTGTGAGGAGGAGGAGGAGGAGGGAGAAAGAAAGGGAGGCAGGCAAAAATGGCCCTGGATCTTAAACATTCATGTTCGTTCTCAACTAAGAAGTTTTCTGTCCTTGACACCCTTTCTCATCTTTAAGTATTTAAATATCCTCATAATGTTTTGGGGGATGATCTGGTAAAAATTTCAGCACAGCTGTCCCCAAGAGAAGAGAACCTGGATCGGATTTATGTCACACGTGAATACCACCGAGCGAATTGCACAGATGGGAGGGATGGCAGGGGAATTGGTACATGTGCACTTCCTTCTCTCCAGCCAACCTGGCATCTGTGTTCTTTCTCCCTTTCCGATTTGGTTTTTGTTCGTATGTACTAATTGCACAAAATAATGGGCTTCACGATGACGTTTTTCTAAATGTATGAACCCTATATCGTACTTGGATCATCCTTACACCCTCCTTCCCCTCCCCCCGGTATTCTTTCTTGAAATCATTAATGTTCTTCACTACAGATGTCCCCATCCCCACCCCCCACCCCCTCTTCCAGAGAGACACTGGTCTCTGGGTCAGTGTTTATTTTCATTCTGATGCCACTATTTCTCAGGCAAAGGTTTCTATTGCCCTCCAAAAACTTGAAAGAGGGTCCTGTCAGGCTACCAGTTGGGGCGGCTCAGAACCTTCCAGAGTGCTAAGTGGTTCAGGCAGCACCAGATGGAATGAAACCAGATGGGGTGTTCTGGGGCACCATCTGGGAAGGAATTGGGAGAAGGGAGAGACAGAGACAGAGAGAAACAGACAAAAAGAGACAGCTAGAAGCTGAGACAGAGACACTGGGAGGGACAAAGAAACAGACACCAATGACATAGGGAGAGAGATGGAGGGATAGATATAGAGCCAAAGTGAAAGAAATAAGGGGGAGACAGAAGAGGGGGAGAAGGGAAGGAAGAATGGAAAAGAGGGAAGGAGAAGAGAAGACAGAGTTGGACGTAGGGAGGGAGAAAGGGCCAGAGGGCGTGGAGAGGCTGCTTCCTGCGTCCTTGCTAACGGGCCTCCTCCCCTCTGCAGACCCCACGCTGTGGACGCAGGAGCACGTGCGCCAGTGGCTGGAGTGGGCCATCAAGGAATACGGCTTGATGGAGATCGACACGGCCTTCTTCCAGAACATGGACGGCAAGGAACTCTGCAAAATGAACAAGGAGGACTTCCTGCGAGCCACCTCCCTCTACAACACCGAAGTGCTGTTGTCACACCTCAGTTACCTCAGGGAAAGTAAGTCCAGCTGCAGCTTGCCCTTCCACCCAGGGAAGGAAGGGGACGCCGTGGGTCACACCCATGGGGCACAGGATGAGGGGTCGCCTCCTGGGTCACGTGGGTTGTGGGTTTCTGTAGACTGCACAGGCAAGGGGCAAGGAAGCAAACTGGAAAACCCAGAAGAAGAAGGAAGCGAGGATCTCGGTTTTTAGGGCACTCAAGGCTAGTCGTACTGTCCCCAAGCGGACCCCTTTCTAGAAACCACTTCTCTGCCTGGGATTTGGTAGGGTGGGTGCTGTTCTGGCTGGAGTTTTTCTGAAGACCGGATTTCAAGTTCCTACAGGTTCATACGCTTAGGATTAAAAGTTCAGCACGTCAAAGCTGGGCACTGGTGGCTCACGCCTGGCCTGTCATCCTAGCTCCTCAGGAGGCTGCGATGTGAGGATCACCATTTGAACCCAGCCCTGGCAGCAAAGTCCTTGAGACTCTTATCTTTAATAAACGATTCCAGAAAAGCCAGAAGTGGTGCTGTGGCTCAAGTGGCAGAGTGCTTGCCTTGAGCAAAAGAAGTTCAGAGACCGCGCCCAGGCCCTGAGTTCAAGCCCCAGAACTGGGAAAGAAAAAAAAAAAAAAAACAAAAGTTCTGCAAGTCAGTGTCTTAACTTCTTATCTTGGTGTTATACTGGAGTCCCAACTCTGAACCCCGTAGGCCTGCTTCTTGAGCACTTACTCACCAGGGAGCGAAATCCATGCAATGGGTTTAGGAACAAATACAAGTTTTCTCTGGAAAACAAAAGTAGGTTTAAGAAAGATTATGAGATTATGAGGCTTGGCTAGCATGAACCCCCCCCCCCCGTTTTGTTTTTGTTTTTGTTTCCAGTACCAGAGCTTGAACTCAGGGCCTTATACTCTTGCTCTTCCTCCTCCCCACCCCCCTGCTCACAGGTAATGCTCTACTATGCCTCCAGTCCAGTATTTTGCTGCTTTATCGAAGTTAGAGTCTCTTGGACTTTTCTGCTTATACTAGCTTCAAACCATGATCCTCCACACCTCAGCTTCCCAAGTAGCTAGGATTACAGGCAACACCCACAGGCCACAGCTCTGCTTCTTTGTTTGATATGAATTGCATTTGAGATACAGTGGTCACTGAGGAGAGGAATAGAATGATTCTGCACCTATTTTCCTCAGCCTTGATTTTTGACCAGAAATCCAGGCCAGGTAGCAAGTATTAAAGGGCCTCCAAAGATGGATGAAAGCCACAGGAAGATGGACATGGTCAATTCCCTGTGAAAATGTCTTTACAGATGACCAGCAGGCTCAGAACAAGGTTATCAGAATGTTAAGCTTTGGCAAGTTGTTTGATAGGTTTTTGGTGGTGGTGGTGGTTTGTCAGTCATGGAGCTTGAACTCAGGATCTGGACGCTGTCCCTGAGCTTTGTGTTTCTCAAGACTCTACTAGTTTCTCAAGACTCTACTAGTTTGAGCCCCAGTGCCACTTCCAGTTTTCTGGTGGTTAATTGGAGATAAAGAGTCTCACAGACCTTTGTGCTTGGGCTAACTTTGAACTGTAATCCTCAGCTCTCAAGTCTCCAGAGTAGTTAGAATTACAGGTGTGAGCCACCAATGCCTGGCTGAGGTGTTTGATGATTTTAAGCCCCTTTCTCAAAGCTGCCATGGTAGACACAGTAGGGGGCTACTTTGCCTGGTCCTGTGAGCTCTGGGTTCCTTACCTCCCCCTGGCTCAGTGAGGTTTTTGTTCTGCAGCGTGCTCTGCATGGGGCAGGGGCAACACATACCACGCTTGCTGGGAAAGTGGAAAGTAAGAAAAATGCCTTCAGAAGTTTCCACCATGCCTCTGGGCTATCTGGCCACTTTCGAGGCGTCTGGTGACCGGTGGGAGAGTATATGTGAGCACCAAAGCGATGACCTCATGTCTGAGTCTTGCTGCAATATGAGGTCAGCCCCAGAAACAACAATTTCAGAAAAGGGACCATTTTCCACCCAGCTTATGCTGAGCCTTGGTGATTAGCATTTTCTAATGATCTGGAGTTCTCAGCCTATATGTGTTGGTAGGATGGAAAAAAGCCAAGGATCTTTTAACAGAGTCTTGCCCAAACCAAACCAAAGGAAAAACCAGGGAGTGAGGAGCAGCAAGGTGGGCACAGAGAGTAGATGAAAGAAGCAGAGCTGGATAAGCCTTTTCTGCCTCCCCTCGCTTCTTCATGGCTGAGGGACCCTGGCCCCATCTTATCTTTCCTGGGAGAAGGGACTTCAGATGCATAGGTGAATTCTGATTGGCAAAAGGGCCCAATACTTGGGGGCTTCATGCTACATGCCCTTGTGAGAAACCTGCTCCAATTCTGCAACCTGGTTCTCTGACTAGCCCATAAACAATCCACGTCCCATTGGTACTTCTTGTCAGCAAAGAACCTGAACCACAGGTGTTGAAGTCAGACCAACACCTCTTGCTCTGGAGGCCCGGGAATCTGAGGTAGCTCATCAACCTCTAGATCTTCTGTTGGACAAGGGCAGGTGACAGGGAGGGAATTGGTGAGCAGGTGGTAAAGAGGAGGAGGAGGAGGAGGAGGAGGAAGATGACAAGGAGGATCAGAGTTTGGTATTTGGGGGTATAATATAGCAAGAAAAAAAAGTGTGGGTTGTTTCTTTCCTCTTAGGAATACATGTAGAAATCAAGGAAGATGCCTCAAAGTAGCCAAAATATGAAAGTTCCAGAAAGGTAATTATTAGTGAGGCCAACTGCCAGAGTTATGTCTGCAAAGGCTTTTGAAAATGCAGGAGAGAACCAGACTGGATGGCTCACATCTGTAATCCTAGCCGCTTGAGAGGAGGAGATTTGGAGGAATGAAGTTTAAGGTCATCTTGGGCAAAAAAGTTAGTGGCATGCCCATCTCAACCAATTAAAAGCTGGGTGTAGTGGAACGTACCTGTCAGCTATGCAGGAAGAATAAGTATGAAGATCATGGTCAAACTGAGCCTGGGCATAAATGCGAGACCTTATTTTAAAAATGACTACAGTATAAAGGGCTAAAGTCAGGAGTGGTAGAATGCTTGAGTAGCAAGTGTAATGTCCTGAGTTCACACCTAAAATAGTCATATGAGGTCTGAAATTTAAAAACAAAAACACTTGTCCCAACTTAGCACTGTAGTAGCCTTTTGAGGAATGTTAGACTTGAAAGAACCCACAGGGAAGAACTTTCTAATGTGCGTGTGTGTGTGTGTGTGTGTGTGTGTGTGTGCGCGCGCGCGCGCTAGGCTTAGGGCTTGAACTCAAGGCCTGGGCACTGTCCCTGAGCTTTTACTTATTCAAGGCTAGCACACTACTACTGGAGCTACGGGTAGTTAATTGGAGCTAAGAGTCCCTATTGACTTTTCTGCCCCAGCTGACTTCGAACTGCAATTCCTCAATCTCAGTCTCCTAAGTAGGTGTGAGCCACCAGCATTTAATCAGTTGATTGGTGCTTTGGTCATGAGACCCTCAGGACAGATCTCCATCTGTAGGGCTGTAGGATGAAAGACATTCCATCCCATCCATGGATTCTACTAGGCCAGATGTAAAATAAGTGATGTATCTAGAAATTTGTCTTTCTAGGCTTTTGTAGAAAAAGGGACACCTTAGAGGATAAGTTCTATTTATACTTTCACCCAAAGCCATTAACTTGTCTTGTTGTCTGGGAGGAGGGGATTATAATATTAAGTTTAATAGGCCAAATTAAAAAAATTAATGTATCTTCCAAAATAAGAGAGAAATTGCAATGTCTTGAATCACTCTATGTACTCTGCTGAAAATATGCCAGAATGTATCTGATCTTCATGGAGGTGTGGGCTCCTCACCAAAATTTCAAGTAGACGAAGAGGCCGGGACTGGTCAGGGTGCCCCCAGTCCTTGGGGTCACACTGAAATTGGCTCAGGTGGCCAGCACCTGCCCAGGTGTCATAAATGAAGTTTACATTGACGGGGCGCCCCCTTGTGGACACCATGTACATAACTCTAGAGTCCCCATTTCAAAGCCAAAGCCATTGAGGCCTGGTCTACTCCAGGAAATCAATTGAAAAGCATCCAACCTCAGCAAAAACACCTGCCCTGAGCTCGGAGCAGCCCACCTCTGCAGTGCCAACCTGCAGCCTGGCCCTCGCTTCAGAATGATGAAGTCTTCCGCATTGAGGGTCAGACCACTTTCTCCACAGTGTTGCTGTTTTTATTTGTACCCAGAGATAAATGTTTTTCAAAGTCTTTTCTGTGGCCTTCTGGAATGAGACAGATTAAACCAAACATCCCCTCACCCCACCCTTTTCTTGCCCACAGCACCCCAACCTCTGGGCCTGATTGGCAGCCCCACTAGAGACTCTCCCAGATACACCCGCTGAGCACAGAAGAGGTCCAGGGAAAGGAAATGGGGCCCCTGGCAGGCAGACTTGCGAAGATCTGGACCTCTGGGGAGGCAGGCTGCCCATCCCCACCTGGCAGTTCAGCCTTGGGGCCACTGGGGGGAGTTCAGGGTTGTTTGAGAACTTGAAAGTTCCTGGGCAGAAGGAGCAGCCAGTAGATGAGGTTTTATTTTCATTTCATTTCATTTTACAAATGAATTGGGGTTGTGCATCTGTCTGGCCTAGAAAACATCATAAGAAAGTACATTCTCAAACGGGTGGGGTGACATTTGCCAACTAGAGAATGAAATATTTAGTGTGATAGGAAGATCACCGAAAAGGTATCCATCTTGATCCTTGTTTTTTAATTTCAAACTAATGGAAAACACATTGTGCGACCTGTGGGCTTTCCACCTGCATCCTCAGATGGTGATAGGCCTAGCAACAAGCCAGGGTGGTGTATTGTCCCTTCCAGGCATCCGTCTGCATTGGAAAGGAGAGCAGGATTACAGCAGTACAAAAGACAGGGTGGGCTGGACTCCATCATTTGTCAGCCAAGTCTGATCAGCCCTCTGCCCTCCTCCAGCCTCCAATGTGCGCTCGGGAGAGCAGTGTCTGCCACGCAGAGAAAGGACAAGTCAATGGGCTGGCTGTGGAGGGGCCCGCTAGACTGTATGGTAACAGAGTCTAAGGCCCAGACAAAGGCTTTGGCATTAGGAGCCTTGCTGCCCTGCTCCAGGTGTCCCAGATGAAAAGCACGTTAGGCAGATGGTTCTCGGGAGAACCCCAGAAATCCCGGGGTTCTGCATCATACATGCACAGCTTCCCTGCATTCTCATCTTCTACGTCCCAGATATGGGAGACTCAGAGGGAAAATTATTCTTGTCTTATGCATTTCTCTTGAAAAAGATCATCCCAGACTAAGCTTGGTGACTCGCATCTGTAATCCTGGCTACTCAGGAGGCTGAGATCTGAGGATTGTGGTTCAAAGCCAGCCTGGGCAGAAAAGTCTGTCTGTGACACTTTTATGTCCAATTAACCAGCAAAAAGCCCAAAGTGGAAGTTTAATAGAGCTCTAGCTTGAAGCCCTGAATTCAAATCTCAGTACTGGTACAGAAAGATTGGGGGGGAGGGAGGGAGAGAGAGAAGGACAGGGAGAGAGAGGGAAGGAACGAAAGAAGGAAGGAAGGAAGGAAGGAAGGAAGGAAGAAAGAATCATTCCAAAAGGCCATTCCAATCTCACAATACCTACTTCCTGCTTTCTAGAGCAAAGTGTGCCCCAAATCAGAATATAGACATATATGTATGCCTATAGATCCACATATACATTCATACATAGACAACCAAGTAGACCGATGTTTTAATTGAATGAAGTATAATATATAGAGAATGGTAAACAGCACAATACACAACTGGGAAATCATCACAAAACACATCTACTCAATTATGTAAGCAACCCCTGCCATCAAAGAGAAGAGAAACTTGTACCTTCTCTCCTTCACCCCCACTGCTCCTTCCCAACCTCCCCCAACCCTGTCCGCCAGCCCCAGAGATGAGTTTTGCCCATTGTTTTGCTTTAGCCTGGAGGCCCTGAGGGCTGCTGGCCTGACAGGTTTTGTGTAGAGACCAGGATGAAGTCCTGTTGCCTGCACCTTCTGGCTGTGTGATCTTAGGCAAATGATCAACTTATCTGTGTAGTGGTCTCATGTACTGCACAGAGGACAATGCACTAGCTTTCGTGGCCTGTGAAGGACAGAGTGAAGGAGCAGACAGGGTGTCTGGCACACTGGGTATGGTCCCGAAGCAGTGCTTCCCTTCCTCCCCGCTCTCGCCCATTGCCAGGTGAGTTCAGAAGCAGGGTAGGCCAGCTCATGTCAGGCCAGACAGATCCTTAGGAAGGGAAGAAGAAATCCAAAGCCAGACTCCAGGAAGGGCTTTCTTCTGGCAGAGCAAGTTCCCTTAAGAAAACTGCGCTGAAGCTGTGTGTAAGTGGCTCATGTAATCCTTGTTTCTTGGGAGGTAGAAATCTGAAGTTGTAGGCCAGACCTAGGCAAAACAGAAAGAAGTTTGAGAGACTTCATCTTGACCAATGGCTGAGCATGAGTTTTCATACCTGTCATCCCAGTGACGCAGGAAAGCTCAGGCACAAAGCAAGACCCAGTCTCACATAATAATAAACAGAAAAGTGCTGGTGAGTGCTTGCCTCGCGAGTGTGAAGCCCTGAGTTCAAATCCCAGTACTACTAAAAAAAAGAAGAAGAAGAAAAGGGGGAAGGGAAAGGAAAGGAAGGAAGGAACAAAGGAATGAAGGAACGAAGGAAGGGAGGAAGGAACGAAGGAAGGCAGGAAGGAAGGAAAGAACGAAGGAACGAACAAAGACAAAGAAAAGGAGGAGAGAGAGAGAGACAGAGGAAGAGAGAGAGGGGAAGAGAGGGAAGAGAGAGGAAGGAATTTGCTTTGCCACCCTCTATAACCCAAGGACCAGGCAAAATAAAAGTCAGAGGGAGAAGGAAATGTGGGTCCCCAGAGAGAGAGGCCAGTGGCCCCCAGCCAGCCCCCTCTCAGGGGAGGCTGCTTCTCCTTCCCAAAGTGAAACCTGAACCAAAAACAGTCTTGGGGCAAAATTGCTTTCCTAGGTTACCATGAAATATGTATTTCATGCAAGCTTTGGGGAGGTCAAGGACCCTTCCCTTGGCTTTCTGGGAGTTTCCTGTGGCTTCACGTGTACCCACAGACCGACTTTCACCATGGGGAAATTTGATACATGTGGTTTTTCTGAGCTTCGTGCTCAAGGCTAACTTTGCACTAATGACTTGGGCTTTTGCTCCGCAGAGACCATCATTTTTCTTCATTTGCTTGGGCAGCGGGTTCCAGCCTGAGGGAGAGAATGCCAGAGACAGAGGCACACATTCTCCATCTTACCTTGTTAGGGGTGTTTGCATTCCCTTGGAACGTTCCATTCCATTTCCTAACCAGCTTCCAGTCACGAAGGGTTATTTCTTCTTGTCGCAGAACCCATCTGTAGCTCTTCTTCCAGAAGATGAGATGAATGCTTGGCAAGCTCTTCGACACAAGGACTTTTTCCTGGGTCATTGTTTGTCCCCGTAGGAGAAAGAGTAGAAAAAGACATGAGGATTACAGCTAGCAACTCTTGATCATCATTTACATGGTTCCATCATTATTACTGTTTTGTGCCATTCATGAATTCATTTGTTGGTGCTGGTACTGGAACTTGAACTCAGCGTCTTGCTCTCTGGATTGGCTACTCTGCTCAAGGCTAGCGCTCTACTGCTAGAGCTACACTTCCCACATCTAGCTTTTTCCTGGCTAATTGAAGATAGGAGTCTCATAGACTTTTCTGCTAGGACTGGCTTTGAACTCTTATCCTCAGATCTCTGCCTCTTGAGGATTGCAGGCCATGAATCATTCCCAGCCTTATTCTGAGCACTTTGCACATGATTAAAAAACAAAAACAAAATCAAAGCTTAAGTTTCACAGCAATTACGTTAAGTTAAAGCTTCTATGAGCCCGTTACGTGTAAGGCTCAGAGAAATGAGGGAGGTGGATGGGTGTTCACGAAGATGCACGCTCACTAAGCTGGTCAGTGGTAAGAGGCAGATCTAATTTTACACCCTCGTTTGCATAATAACCTACATTCGGCTGAAGTTGTAAAATGAACTTCAGGATCATCACTTGGTCATGGATATTCCATTCTTTCCTTAAGAACGGAAACCGTCAACCAGAACTGGTTTGGGCTACTGCATTCAGGTGACGGTGTCATTTCTACAGTGTTATCCATACTCGAGAACTTCAGCGTGGAGCAGTCTCTGCGTGGCCCCTGCCCCTCCTGGTTTTCATCTGGGAATTGTGTCAGAACCTTCTAGAAGGGGCAGTCACCCAAGCCAGAGTCATCTATCCCCGGAAGTTGGAGACTGTATCCTCTGGCCTGGTGTGGCCACATTTTTCTCTGCAGCCCACAACCAAATACCCACAGCTGGGTGAGGCAGACACAGCTCAGCCTCTGCTTCCCCTCTGTGCCTGCAGACTAAGAATAAGTGTGGCTGACAGCCCATTTCCAGCCTGGCACCCCGTCAGTCCCTTGGCCCCAGGCCCTATGAAAAAGGAGTTGTTTAGAAAGTCTTTCTTAGCCTCCAACACATCTGTTGAGCTCATGGTAGCCTTATAAAAAGCAAATTCCATCCTTGTTTTTGATGGCTCTTTAAATTTTTTCCTCAGGAGAATTATGAGGAGAATCCTAAAAATGCCTACACGTGACACAGTTGGACTCTTTGAGTTCACTTTAAAGGAGAGAACCAATCTAGTGGTGAGGAGGAAGGACCATGCGACGTTTTGACATGCAACAAGACCCAAATGGCCCTCCCTTCAAAAGGGGGAAACTGAGGCCTGTTTGAGTGACGATGTAAAGATTGTGTCTCCACTCTGGGGTGACAGAAATGTCAGCACTTAACTCCTTGTGCTGAGTTGTTTTCTCTTAGAAACAAAGTAAGAGTAAAAATTAAAACCCCATTTCCAGAGCCATTATCCCTGCTCCTCCCCGCTCCCAAGCACCTGGCTCCATCGGTAACAGTACCCAAATGTACGCAGGTGAACGCAGAGACTCGGTGGTACTTATTTCTTCCCCAAGGTATGGCAGACCACAAAGTATGGGACATATCTAACCATGGAAAAAGCACAACAGAAGCTAAACAGACACTGTGTTCATTTGATAAAGTCTAAAACATTTACTAATGGGTCTTTAGAGGAGAAAATGTACCAACCCCTGATCTACTTCAATCCCTTCATTATTCCAATGAAGAAATCAATGTAACATTACTTAGCCAGTCATCAATCAATGAGTTAGTAAAACGTCTAGGCGCTGGTGGCTCACACCTGTAATCCTAGTTACTCAAGAAGCTGAGATCTGGGAATCGTGGTTCAAAGCCAGCATAGGCAGGAAAATCTGTGAGACTCTTATATCTACTAAACTACCAAAAAAAAATCCCAAAGTGATGTTGTGGCTCAAGTGGTAGTGAGCCAGCCTTGAGCAAAAGAAGCTCAGGGTCAACACCAGGCTCAGAGCTCCAGCCCCAGGATGGGTACAAAAAAATAAGAAGAACCAGGGCACCTGTGCCTATTCATTCTCCATCCGGTTTATTCTGTGGCACAATGCCTAAACTCTGCAGGGTACGAACATGGCTCTTCAGGAGGGGGCAGACTTGCCTCCCCATACATGTCTTGTTCTAGCTTATTCGGCCCTAACTCCCAAAGTTACCAAAGTCCTAGGTGGTTGATTCCAAGCAAATAGGTCTCATTAGCTTTTTCCTCTCCTTTCCCTTCAGGAGTACTCTTTCCTTCTTATCCTCTTTTCTCTTCCCTTCCCCATTCTCTTCTGATGCCATCTCCTAGTTTGGATGAAAGAGAAATGTTTTAGTTCTAACCTGTATTAGTCAGCTTTCCATGACTATAACAAACGACTGAGACAATCAACTTAGTAGGAGCAAAGGTTGATTTTGGTTCTCAGTAGCAGGGATTGATTGGCTTCCTTACTGTGGGCCTATGGCAGTATAGCATAGCGGGGCCTCCCTTGGTGAGCCACCATTTCCTTCATGAATAAAACAACAACAGTAACAAAAACAAAACAGGAAAGAGGAAGAGCTGGGGGAGGGATATCCCACAATCCCCTCTGAGTGCACCATTTCCAATGACCAGAAGACTTACCAGAGGACTACCTCTTAATGTTCCCACCACCTCTCCCTAGTACCATGCTTGAGACCAAGCTTTTCAAAACACGTTGCCTTTGGGGCAACGTACTGGATCCAAACTATATCATTCACTTTTGCCTTTGTTCTTTTCTTTTATCTTTGCCTTACAGGTTCACTGCTGGCCTATAACACAACCTCCCACACCGACCAGTCCTCACGACTGAGTGTCAAAGAAGGTAAGTCTGCTCTCTCGTGGGCTCGGAACTTAGCTTGTACCAAGCATGACACAGCTCCATTTGCTTAGCCTGGGGTGGAAAACTTGGCATCTGTAGACCAATCCCCTAGTTTGGGTCCATTTTGAGTTTCTAGCATCCAAGAAAAGAAACCAAAGAATTTCACTCTTGTGTCACTAGTTACAAAACTACAGCATCAGGAGGCTTTGCGATGTCCTGTAGTAATCTTATAAATAGAACTTGAAGCTTTCTTTCAGGAGAGAAAATGAATTATTGCGCTTTGCCTGAGCAGAAGAGAGGATTCTCAAGGAGGTGATCAAATGTACAGTTGAGGGTTTTAGCATGCCTACCTTTTAACAAATGTCAACCATGTCCATTTCATTTGTAAGGAGGTAATTTAAGGATATGGTCTGGTCTAGTTTTGTCTGCTTTGGTTTGGTTGGGTTTGATTTGATTTGATTTGGTTTGGTTCAGAGAGAAAAAAAACAGTATCAGAAAATGATTTGTGTAGATGAATCTAACACACATCCTGTTAGTGTTTCTCAGCGTCTTTATTTCGGAAGCAATTTTGTAAGGATTGATCCAGATACTGTGTAAGATTTTAGACATTTAAACAAGTGAATGATTCTTGTGATCTGGTTCATAGAGGAAAACAATGTGACACCATTGTTAGAAATCGGAGAAGTGGGAAAAATTCTTAGGGGAAAAAGAAAATTCCACAGAGAAGGGATTTCTGAGTGGAGGCCCAGGAGCAGAGGGGAGTTTGATACACATGCTCTTCCCCCACCCTCTCCTTCCTTCTCTTTCTTCTCTACATCACACCTCTCACCTTGGATGAGAGCCCAATTTTCACTGTGGGCATGCGCTGTGTGTGCTGCCTAATAATTCAGAGAGACATAAACTCTTCTAAGGGAGGAGAGCATTTCATCCAAAATCCTCATAGGATGTAGAGGTTACAGAGATATCAAAGGTCCAGGTCATAGCTTCATTCACACAGGACTTGTATTTCTTGTTAACAATTCATAAGCCAGGCACCAGTGGCTCATGCCTGTAATCCTAGTGACTCAGGAAGCTGAGATCTGAGGCTCCAGGTTTGAAGCCAGCATGGGCAATAAAGTCCATGAGACTCTTATCTCCAATTAACCACTAGAATACCAGAAGTGGTGCTGTGGCTTAAAGTGGTAGAGAGCTAGTCATTAGCCAAAGAGCTCAGGGACATCATCTAGGTGAGTTCAAGCCCCATAACTAACAAAAAAAAATTGTAATTGAGCTCACACCTGTAATCCTACTCAGGAGGCTGAGATTTGAGGATCACAGTTCAAAGCCAGCCTGGACAGGAAAGTCCGTGAGACTCTTATCTCCAATTAACGACCAGAAAACCAGAAATGGCGCTGTGGCTCAAGTTGTAGAAGGCTCACCTTGAGCTGAAGAGCTGGGGGACAGTGCTCAGGCCCAGAGTTCAAGCCCCATGACAGACCAAAATAAAAATTATAATTGGACAATACAGAGATATAATATAATGATCTGCTTTTAGATGACGGACTGTGTTTCTCCTTAGATGACTGACTGTCTTTCTCCTTTGCTTCCTTCGCTCCTGCCTCATCTGGGTGGGCCAATCTATTTTCCACTGCTGCTTTTTCTTTCCAAGTCAAATGTATTGACATCTCTATGGAAACTGAAGAGGGATTGATTCAGTCTTCATTCTGAGCCACTTTTTTTTTTCTTGCTGACTTATTTTAACATCATGTGAGGCATGCCTGTACAATGAAGCCACGCCACCCCTGAACCAGTTCCCTGTTCAAGTGCAGGGGCTGAAGGGAATCAGTGAGAGTCAAGCCAGCCAAGGCTCTGGAGCGCTTTCTTGGCTCTTGAAGAGATGACCAGGAGCCACAGAATGAGAGTGGGATCTCAACAGCCAGAGGCCTCTGCTTTGCTTTATTCTATATATTCAGCTTTGTTTCACTTGCAGGTTTGGAAGGAAGCAAGAGAGAGAAAAAGGCAACCAACCATGGAAGGAGTAGAAGGAAGGAAGAAGGGGTGGAAGGAAGGAAGAAGGAAGTGAGGAAGGGTAGAAGGGTAGAAAGAGGAAAGGAGAAAAGGAGGAGAAAGGGAGGAAGGGAGAAAGGAAAGAAAAAGAAAGGAGGGAGGGAAAGAGAAGGAGGGAGGGAGGAAGGAAAGAAGAAAGGGAAGGAGGAAGGGAGGGAGAGAGGAAGGAAAGAAAAGGAAGAGAAGAAGAGAGGAAGGAAGAGAAGAAAGAATAAAAGGAGAGAGGGAGAGAGGAAGGAAGAAATGGAGGGAGAGAAGGAGGGAGGAAGGAAGGGAAGGAAGAAGGGAGAGATGCTGGAAGGGGAGGGAAGAGGGTAAAGTCTCTGAATGGCTGTGTTAGGATTCAACACTGCAGACTACAACCTTCTGTCAACAACTGTTGGGGCTCTGGTGCTGGCAGAGCCAGTGGGAGATTTTCTAGCATTGGCCTTAAAACATGTCTAACCTTGTTTTAGTTTAAGCACCAAACCCACTGGGCTAAGTTGAAATGTTTTGGCCTAACTAACCATCTCCTTCCTCTCCAGGACTTCAGGCCTCAGTTCTCAGCCCTGTCCTCCACCTTCCAGGCTGGCTCTGCTTTGTGGGTGGGGGAGGGAGCTTTTGTGTCAGGAGACTACATTCGCCATGCTGGGGCTCATTCAGAGCAGCTCTTTCTGGTCGGGTAGCAACCTTCTTCTGACGTGAATTAACTGCAGTATCTAGACAGACGCGCGTGCGCGGCCAGAGCCCCATTCAGGTGGTGCCTGGCATTTATCTCCCAGCATCAGGGCCCTGGCCTCTAGAGATGATTAAGTCTGAGATTTGCAGGTGCATCTTTTGTCCCCAGGAAAGCTGTGCACTTGAGCTGCCGTCTCCCTCTAGGGAGGTGGGCTGAGGCTGAATGACCCACTGTGCCAAAACATAAAGTGCATTAGCAAGACAAAGCTAAACAGCCTGTCCTCACCTCCTCCCTCTCTCCCACTTCTCCATCTCTCTTCTTCTCTAATAGCTATCTTTATTTCTTTAATATTAAATGAACAAAAAGAAAGAGAAGACATCACCATGCAACCTTGGTTACCTCTTCTTTGAATAAGATGCACTAGTAACCTCAAAGTCAGAGCTGAGCTCCAGAGCTCTGTGTGTGTGTGTGTGTGTGTGTGAGAGAGAGAGAGAGAGAGAGAGAGAGAGAGAGAGACATAAGCAAGAGCAGGTGCCACATTAGGCACAAAGGAAAGAAGTTGTGGAGATGATTTAGAAACATTATTAATGTGTCTTTAGAGTTGGTATGATTAGAATGCCTTTTTACTTTAAAATGGTGCCATTGCTCTTCTAAAATAAATGACTGCAATCTCCAAAGGTTATTTGTGCCCAGGAAGATGGCTGCATTTTAAAAATTAACTTACAATGATCTTTAAGTAGCTCCTGAGGGGGCACCCAGCTACCTAGTAGTGGAACAAGAGCTCAAATCTAAATTAGAATATTAAAGCTCCCTCGCTTCACTAATAGTTAATCTCATAGAATCAGAGATTAGAATCCTGGTACCAGAGGTGGGGGGGCGGGGTTGTGGTAGAGAGATGATGGATGCAGTTAGACTGGAGGAAAAACTTCCTATGTTCTATACGACAGGCAAGGTAGCTATGGTGGATAACAATTAATAGATATTTCAAACTAGATACTAAAGAAAATTAAGTAATCCCAGGGACTGGGAAGGTGGTTCAGTGGTAGAGCGCTTGCCTTGCATGCATGAGGCCCTGGGTTCAATTCCTCAGCACCACATAAGCAGGGGGGAAAATGCCGGAAGTGGTGCTATGGCTCAAGTGGTAGCGCGTTAGCCTTGAGCTGAAGAGCTGAGGGACAGTGCCCAGGCCCAGAGTTCAGGCCCCATGACCGGACCCCCCCCCAAAAAAAAAGAAAGAAAATTAAGTAATCCCAATATAAGTAATGATGGATGTTGAAGGTGACAGATATGCTAATCACGCTGATTTGATCTTTGAACATTGAATACATGCACACATATAATGTGTAATTATATGTCAGTTAAAATGTAATGTCCCGGGGCTGGGAATGTGGCTGAATGGTAGAGTGCTTGCCTAGGATGTATGTACCACATAAAAAGAAAAGCCAGAAGTAGTGCTATGGCTCGAATAATAGAGTGTGAGCCTTGAGCAAAAGCAGCTCAAGGACAGTGCCCAGACCCTGAGTTCAAGCCCCAGGACTGGCAAAAAAAAAAAAAAGTCCCTCTTCCTCCCTCCATCCCTCGTGGTAGCAGATTTGAACTCAGGGCCCTGAATTTTGCTCATCTGGCCCTCTACCAGCTTGAGCCACAACTCCCACCCTGCTTTGGAGTTAAAGCTTAGCAAACTTTTCTACCCATTCTGGCCTCAAATTGCCATCCTAAGATTACAGGAGAGAGCCCCATGTGCCAGGTATCAAACGTCTTCCTGAATACAAAAGTTTTTTTCCTGCTGACTTATCATGAAAACAGTAACTTACCTAAATATAATTCAGGCAGAGATATGAATTGAGGACATGATTTTTTCTCTATCCCCATTGTTTTCCAATCACTTCAGGTTCTCTGTCCTGAAAATAAACTCACATATACCCTCTCCTTGGCAACATTCCATGGGCACAGAGCCCCTTGTAGATCTTTGTGAAATACTGATGCTCAGGGAAAGTAAACTGACTCAATTTCCCAGAGAGACAGAGAGAGTAGCATCATGGGAGTGGAAATCAGCTGGTAGTTAGCAGAGGCTACAGTAAGAAAAAGGGAAGTTAGTGTGTACTGGGGACCAAGTATCAGTTTGGGAGGCTGAGAAAGTTGGGAGATGGAATGGTAGCAATGGTTGTCCAGTCGCGCGTGCGTGCTGTGTGTGTGTGTGTGTGTGTGTGTGTGTGTGTGTGTGTGTGTATGTGTGTGTGTTGACACTGGGTCTTAAGTGCAGGGCCACACTCTCCCACTTGGCTTTTTCATCAAGGCT